AATATGTATAAATACGTGCAAAACTTGTACTTATATACAAAATTAATCTCCCGTACGAAAGCATACCAATGTGATGATGGTCATAAACATGTACAATGAATACTGTCTGTATTTCAGGGTAAACTTAATGTGAGCTGTGTGCTAACTAGTTTTTACTGTTTCAGTGATGAAATGTTTGAGTTGAAATCGTTTGTTGACTGCTGGATGAAGAGACACACCTCTAAATCCGTGAATCAAGCTTCATGGATGCAGAAGTATTATTTCAGAGCTTTACAATGGCTTTCTGAAAAGGTAAGCAAATAATTATTTCGAATGAACGACAGCATTTGAAGCGTTTCTACACTTATGCATTGACCAACACAAATTAAATAACAATTTCTGATGTTGCAGTTACACGTTGAAAGCACACATTATCCCTTTATTTCTAGTCCCCTAGGGAACGGCTTAAACTGGCCACGGTACCATGGCATTTGAGTGCCTGCAGTGCATCGGATGCAAGACTGAACTGGGCTGAATAGACAGCAGAAGTTTGGGATTCCTATGGGATCTGCCATAAGTGTGGCGCTCACAAATCTACATGTGGATCAACTTGAAGCTTCCATGCTGCCAAAAATGGCTTATTTTCTGACCACCTTTGAACCACAGGGCTGGTGGCTGACATCTTTAAAATGGTTTAAAGAGAAATCTGTCTTTAAAATTAGTTTTCCATGACGTTCGCATGAATTGTAAAATTTTCATGACAGTTTTTGGTAAATCCCCAATGATAAGCTATACTACTGAAAAGGAATATCATGGCCAAAATATTTTCCTTGACATGCGATTTGGGAACAAATAGGTTAGAACAAAAACCGTTTGAATTTGGAGTTTATTGTAAACCTCAGCGTTCTGAAAAGTACCCTATTTCATGCGTCCCTAAATCAATTTTTTAAATTTTTTAAACAATATCAACTAAATCTTTGAGGGTTTTGTACAGCAGATTTTCCTACCAGTTAGAAACTATACATCTTCAAAATTTCTTACGTAAAAATGCTGTTTTGAAGAAAGTACAAAAATGCATTTATTGCAACCAATTTTTAATGTTAACAAGTAAGTCCAACATGAACATGTCTCAACTGTGGTCATACCAATTTTTTCTAAGCTTTTTAAGATAAATTGTGCAGTACCCAGACAAAGAAGAATTTCGAATCTGCTACAGAATGAGTGTTTCATTGGGTTTATTAAGAACGGCCAGAAGAAGCAGATGCTGCGATTTTGCGGTGCTAATCCGGATAAACGACTTGTATATGATATCCTCGCAAGTTGTGCCATAAAACTAGCTTTTGCTAATTAATGCTGAATATCCTGATAGTTAGTCAAATCAGCGCAGGGTATCAACGTAAATTATAAATCAAAAAAATGTGTATTGTCACTATAAAGCA